AGAAGGTTATGTTTGAACAACACCCTGATCTTCTATTTGTAAAATTTTGCAATTCACAACTCTTTTTGATGACATTCTTTATTCGTGAATTCGAAATGTAATAATAACGAATAAATAAAAATAGAAGAATGAGTTTGTTATGTTTTATACACGATGATTAGATGATATATAATAGAGAAGTGAAAGAAAGAAATGAACACAGGAGTTTAACGTGGTTAGGCAACGTGTCTAAATCCACAGGAGCGAAATGGAGATGATTTGTTTTATTACCAATTGAATAATAGGATTACATTAGCCCTAGCACATACAAGACTTTATGGTCCGTACAAGATTTTAGAAGAAAAGTCAAAAAATATCCCATATACCGTATATCAGCCTGTTTATTTTAGTAAACATGTGTTTCACTTTATATGAGTTATATACATAACAAAGTTTTATTTGGTCAAGAAATGTTATGGAGTTACATCAGTTTAATATTCAATGTTTCATAACTTTTGGTTGTGTCTTGCAACTGTTTTGGGGTCTATACCATTTAGCATTGAAAGCATGGACAACTATGTTATAGCTTTTATGTTTACACCCTGCTATAATCGAAGTTCCTTCTATTGGTTCCCTGTTAGTCCCAAGATATTGAGTGAGATGGGATCTTCTGGATGTTCACCAGATAGAAAAGCGCTTGAACAGAGACATTATTAGCATTATTTACAACGATTTGGTTAGTTTTAGTTTGTGGTTATCTGCTTCTTATTTTCAAAAGATTGCCACTAGAGTCTATATGAAGAAGCCTACTGATACTCATGGTTTATCAAGAACCCTGAACAAGATTGAGGATCTCAAGTAACTCACTAAGTCCTTAATTTTCTTTGTTACTATTTTTTCTTGTGTTTTTCAAGTATTTCTTGCTGCAGAATGTCTATCAACTCCTTTGACTACTTAGTTGGAGTGATACTCTATTTCCTCAGATGTTGCTAGTGCTGGGTAATTTCCTCTTACGAGGAGGTAGGCCCATGTTTGAGATCTTATATTTTAGCCTAAAGCCCATTTAGGGTTTTGACCTTAATGATGAATATACATGTAAGAAGATTGGAGAAAGTAGGAGTACAACCCGTTTTTGAAAATAGAGAAAAAAAATAGTTTTTTCCCCATGCCCAAATTTCATTAAAGCTCTGATCCCGAGTTGTTCGTGGTCCGATCGAGCTGTAATTTGGAGGAGATATTCACAGGATAGAGAAAGTTGGAGATCGAATTTTGAGTTCAAGAACATTGATTAATGTGTGTGAACAATAACCAAATTTCTAGAGTATATTTTTCTGATTTTCATATTATTTTGTCAAGATTGTTGTTATCTTGAAGAAATATACATTATAGCCTCTAGTTATGACTAGAGAATACTTGGTGTACCCATTATTTGATTGATAGTGAATGTTTTGACTGAATTGGATCTCGTGATTTTTATTCCTCACATCGGGATAGCTTTTCTACTTAAAATAATTGCTTTTGTTCTTGCGATTTGGTGTGATTGATTCTCTTTAGAATATTTTCAGCATATGCAATTGTTAAAAATGACATTTTACTTACTTTTGGGAGAGGAATTATTCCGCTATTTGTTTGCCTCTCTCTCGACAGCTACTTTCCATGTGGAGATTCAAGGTGGTTGCTTTATGCTCGAGGTTTGTGAAGAAGCTTGGTCGCTAATACGGTCGTGAGTTCAATAAAAGCTCTAAAATGTAATTGGTCTTCTCATAACTAATATTTTCTAAGTTAATGATCTCTAATAATTATTAAAACGTGTTGGGATCAATAATACTAATGAACAATACTTGATATCAATTGGGGAAAATCTTTTGTAGGTTTAATTATTAGAAATGGGAATCTAATGTGTAAACATGAGGAATTTTCAACTTAAAATCTGTTCATGCATTTTCTAAAAATAAGACATGCTATTCATTTTTAATGTTGAGTGCTCATAGAATCTTTGTCAAGGCATCCGTTCTGTCCATTTCTCATATCATCCATTCTCGACTTTTTAGTTTATAAATCGATGCAATAAATGAAGTTTGGTTCAAGATTATGTTAACTCGTAAGTTGAACTCTCAAGACGTTTTTGTTGGAAAATAACTATTTGCAGTAACTTGCAAAATAGTAAAATGCAGAAATAAAATTTTTTGACTAATCGAGTCTCGTGACAGCACGATATTCTAAAATGAAATTGTCTGTCGATAACTGCTACGAACTTTGTGGACAATTACTCCCAGAATACAACGATCAAATAAATCATTTGTGCAGCAATCACAAATGGTTTTAGAACTCTAAAGTGTACTTCAGAAAAATATATATAAAACTTGAGTATGAAAATTATAATTTTATTTTTTACGTCTTTTTTCCAAAATCAAATGTGTGTTTATATAGGCAGATTAGATATAATTGCCTCCACAATGATCCAGAAAGATTTACAATTTTTAATGGAATGTAGATAATGAGTTATTGATAGTAGGTTGTTGAAAAATGTTCATATTATACTGACTAGTTTGACCCATTAAACAATTTCGAAAATGATTAAAATAAATAAAAAAATTTACTTCAATCAAGGACTTTTTATTATTGCATAGGATGTAACCCAAACCCCCAACCTCTCCCCAAATTTCACACTTTTCACCAATTGAGTATTTCATCTAAATTAATTATTTTTTCACATATTATACTTATTGTACAAATATCTAATAAGCCTCCACATGAAATAAATAAGATAAATATAAATATTATTTTAGAGTATGGTAAAAATCATGCAGGCTTAGGTATCTATCGAATTGAACCTTGACTTTGTATATTCTATTAAGTTTTCTAATTATGGAATGAACTATGCCTTGGACTATACAATGTTAGTTGCAAATTGAGAAAATAGGACACTCACATGACTTCTAAAACAATCATTGAGTTCTCGCGGTTGTGTTCATTTTGACAGTGAACTTTCCCAATTTCATTGAGTACTCTAGAGAATTAGTTTCAATTTTTATCGAAAGTGGCCCCACTTCCACACTCAAATAGGTGCTTCTGTCAAAGGTGCACTGTATCTAAACACCCCATTGAATATCAGATATAATAAACATTAAGAACATTAACTCATCATCTAATCAGTACGATTGTTACTACGCATAATAGGGAGGGGTTTGGAATAAATCCAATGTAGTAGCCCCATTGAACCTTGTCCATGGGACATTTTTAATTCCACTCCAATTCTGCAATTTGATGTCTCCTTTGGCTAGAGACTAAATCACATCAGAAACAGTTTAATTTCCTCATTCCAACAGGCGACTTCAAAGATGTTGCTTCACAAAATGATGGTTTTTAAGCTCTCCCCCTTTTGCCGTATATTTCATGGACGAATTTCTGTCTCAAATATCTTCCATTGAAGTTGGGAATCTTCAATGTGACCACGTTATGCGGTAATGCACATTGCTCTTCGATGACTTTCTCATGCATGCGAATCAGAATATATAATCAGAAGCATCTGCAATGACTATTTTTCTTTGCTCTTTACGCCACTTAATGTACCATATGCACTTGTTTATAACAACATCAAGCTTGAATAGATTCTCATGTTCGCATTTTCTGCTTTTGCTATTCAAAAGACAAAGCTAATAGATGACTTTTTACTGTTTATCCTTTATGACTTGCAAGTCTGTTTTCAGTTATGTTCCACTTTCCATGGAGATGAATTCATATGGAAATGTGTAAAGCATGCACTTAAATTTCTTAAAGTTGCTTCTTATACTACCAAAACTTATTAACTAGAAGGTTTTGAATTACTTTATAGAAAAATGACTTTTATGCACATCAATGTGTATATAGTATAATAAGCACGTCCAAGCTTTTAGATGGGGGAGTTGGACCTTGGAATGGGGATGTGGTGCATTGATAAGACGTGGATATTTTATGTGAGGCTAAAGAGAGCCTTCTCAATGGTGATGTCAAACTTGTGGTGTCTTTCATTACACAATCTAATTATCTTATGATAATTTTGCCGACAAAACAAAATGGGAGGTCCGAGGGCTAGGTGTGGATTAAGTTGGGTCGATTTTTTACTCAATTCAAACACAACTCAACATGATCGATTTGATCTAAAATCAAATGAACTCAACCCAATTGTGTGTTTAAATCCAACCCAACCCAAAATTGATCAAATTTGGGTCAATTTGGGTTGGTTGGTTTGAGTTTAGGCTCGATTCAAATTGGATTCAATTATTTTATTAGTTAATTTGGACAATTTTTTTTGAAGTTTGAAGTCACTTGAAAAACCTCCATTATTTTTAACCTATATAAATAATTCTTTTTGAAAAATAATGTGTAAATAAATTTGAATTTACGAAGCATTTTCTTTTTATTCATTTCATCATCATTTCCTTAATTTTTAATTTATTGTTAAATAACTTTGTATTTGGACAGAGTATTCATGCCATTCAACCTATGTAAAAAAGGGACGTTTGTACATTTTAAATCTTTCTCTTGTCTCTACCATTTTGTCTATTTAAAATTTTCATTTTAGGTATTAATTTTTTAAATTCATCGATTTGGGTTAGATCGAGTTTAGTATAATTTTAGTTTATAATGCGTGACCCAACCTTATTCAACTTCAAATTTTATTTTTCCAACCAACCCCAACCCAAACCGATCAACCAATCAATTGATCGGTTTAAATTGATTTTTGCCTAGGCCTACGTCGAAAATTTATGACCGAGAATAACTTATCAAAATATATCTCCTTCTTACTCTTGTTTTTTCAATGACGACAAAAATACCGTCAGTTTGTGATACCTTATCTTATCCTCAATCTAGGCTTTACCACGAATGGAATGGACATATCATTAGCATTAAACTTAATCCATTTAGGATGCTGTCCCATATGCCTGACTCAGGTTAACTGATTTTTCATAGTTAACGTCACAGTTATCTGGTTCACAAATTGAGAATCCATAGCCACTATTTTTGCAAAAGAATAAAGGGGCAAATAAAAGCAGCCAAATTCTTTCACAAAGCAGGATACTGATATAAAATCCAACCATAAATACACAACTTAGTAGCAACAACCTTAGGTTAAAGGCGACTTCAGGCCAGTTACTCACAAGATTATAAACATAAAGCAGTTTTATTCCACTGTACTATATATAGGTATATATATGCTAGTCACACAAATATAGCCTCCACGATGAAGTTATTTATAGTAGGACAACTCCAGCTGTTTCTGCAACTCAAGGATTGGGCGGTTTCTCCAAATCCTCGAGAGGGCGGAAAAAGGCCTTCTGTTCCAGAACCGAATCTTCACCACCACTTGCAGTTATAGGGGAACCTGCAGTTGGGTTGTGATCAGTTTCCGGGCCAAACACGCCAGTCTGCGGGTTAGGAGCCCAATATTTGTCAGATTGGGGTGCGATTAAGTCATCTGGTACCACAGTAGGGCAGACATGCTCCTCTGGGTTCTTGTCATAAACCGAAACGTGCACACCCCTCCTACGAGTTGAGATAAAATCGTTTTAAGTTAATAATCACCCAGAAATACATAATAGAAACAAGAATAAAAGAAGAAAAAGGATCCAAATAATGCACATAGCATTTGTTAGTTTCTTCCAACCAAACTGAATTTGACACCCTCTATCCCTAATCTTGAAATTAAATCTAGAGAACATAAAATGAAAACATACCAAAAAATTGAAAATTATATAGTAATAAACTCTAATGAGAGGTTAGTGAAACGTAAAGAAGGTTTTTGTTACACTTGAGAGTATTCAGTGTCCATAGGGTTGGGACAATTGTCACATGACCAGCAAAAATCCAATCATGAGATATGGACTAGCCACCAACCAAGCTTTATCCCTTTAATAATGAACATAGAACATTTCCTATACTTGATGTTTGATATAGGGGGAAAGAAAAGCTGTGAAGTGTAAACGACCAAATATATGCACAAAACAAACAAGGATGATAACTTTTCGTTATCCGATGGTAATGTGGTCCACATGTGAAAAAGAGGTGGGGTCATAAAATTAATTATTAGAAAATGTTCAATTCAAACAGGAGACTCAAAAAATATTTTTGTTGTTGAATTGTAAGTAACTCCCTTATTTAATCTGGAAGCTAAGATTCAGCCATCAATTTAGCAGTTCGGGAAGAGATATAAGACCTTGATTCGAGGACTAAGATCGAAAAAAAATTACAAGCTTGCGACCACAGAGTAAATTAGTTCTAGTTTCAAAAGGGGAAAAAAAATGGTATATTCAACCCATTTTGATTCACAGAACAAATATAATCCCACGTACATTTATCAGATATGCACAAATACAGGGAATTATTAGACACAGAGTTTATGCAGTCAAATTAATTAACATTCACAGATTGTGACGGTAACGGCAACTATTATTGAATTTATATATAAATAGTTATCTAGTAATTTCTTCAATATTAGTACATATGAAGAGCTCTAGACTAGGCATCTAAGCACGAATGAACAGATCCAATGAAATCATAACAAATGTTTTTGCTTCAAAAAGGCACATTAACTCCAACCCACTATCTGTCGAAGTGCTAGGCAGCACACACTTTTCTTAACAATTGATGTGGGCCATGTGTCGCACCTAATTCACCTTTATTACCCTAAAAGTTGTGTGTCTAGACTTGTTTAACATAATCACAAATCTCCAAACACAAAGAGGTAATCTTTAGCATTACATCACAAATAACAGAGCTTGAATTTATACTACCTGGCTCAGGAAAATCCCCATCTAAGCACAAAATTTAAGTAATTATTCCGATTCGGCAGATTCCCATTGCGAAGAACTAGTAAAGAAATTATTCATAAATCTCAATTAACTTCAACATATTGGGCCACTCATTTATTAATATTATGCAAACAAAATACATAAGTGTTAACGGTAACACATAAACAATTATTTTTTAGTTAGTTTTTAAGGAAATGAGGGAATACCTCCATAATATACCGCCTTGGTTCATACTTTTATTTTTATTTTTTTGACACCAACCATGGTTCATGCTTTGCTTATAAGTAATTAAGTTATTTATTTTAAAAAATACGTATTACTTTATTTTCAAGATATGTTCACGAAAGTAACTGGAAATAAAAATGTAGCTACCAAACATGCTCATAGGTGGGCACAACGTGTCAGTATCAACTGTAACCCACCACTCACGAAAAGTAGAATTTATTATATATTTTGGCTAAGAAATATCTCCAAACATCCCAAGACTTTAGCCGGCCAAAATTGGATTGGTATTCAGAAAATGGATGTAAGAAGGAAAAAAAAAAAAAAAAAAAAAAAAAGAGCAAATGATAAGCCAACATACTAAAGTGTGAAAAATTAATAAAAAAAAATCCTGTAGGATAATGGCGTAAAAAGTGATTTCCAATTTTAACTGTAAATAAAATAAGCCCTTGTTTGAGCCCATCTTTTTAAAAAAATACATTTTTAAACAATATTTTGACATCATTTTAATCATACATTATTCAATAAAATAATATTACACGAAAATCTAAAACTTTTCCTTATTTTTTAAACACACATTTCACATCATTCCACTGTTCAAAAATACATGTTCTTGATAAAAGGCTAAATAATTGAACAGGAGAGATTATTGGACTACCATCTTTGAAAATGGCAAAGTTACTATAAAATTAAGCCCAATGAATTCAAAACTCGCATGGATTTTAAGTCTATGAGCGTCTGTGTGCAGCGTGCACACTTGAATTCTGATCGCCCAAAAAATTTCTCTAAAAATACCGCTCCCACTCTGAACACACAGAAATTCTTCTTCGATTATGATATATTCCGGTTTTATAAACAGTTTCCGGGATCCAGAAAAAAGTATTTCACTGAGTCCATAAGATCGCTATGAATTAATTGTTAAATTATCAGAAATGAAACACAGTAAACTCAGTAGTTAAATTTCACCATGAAGCTCCAAAATACAGTGTGTGTATACCTCAGAGAGAGAAAATTGATTGAAAATAGAGTAGAATCACGCGGAACGATCTGGCTCACAAATCGCTTTCCGAAGCTTGCCAGTTTCAAGCTCTGCAATTTGGCTGCTGCCATACAAATTACGTACCCTTTTGGAAAGGAAGATAAATCTATCAGATTTTAGAGAGAGAGAGTAGAAATACGGAGCTTATGTTATTTTCAAAGAATTATGTGATAAACCCACGTTCTTATAGAGGGTTGGCGACTGCGTGTGTGAAAAACTCTCTTTTCCCGGGTCTGAACCTACTCGCCCGTACTACGGATCCTCACAAGAAAGGACCATTTGGACATTCTATAGCTCAATCTGATTTAACTAAAAACTAATTTTTAGTAAATTTTGATATAAAATATTGTGCTTAAAAAAAGGAAAAATTGCAGGAGCAGTCTCTAACATTTTCATTTTTTACAAATTTTATCTTAACCTTTATTTTGTGTCGACGAAGGTCCCTAACTTTTCATAAATATGCATTCGAGGTCCATCTGGATAGAAACTGTCCGAAATACTATTAGTTGACCTAAAAATTTCCTTGAATTATTTGCTACTGTGACGATTTTATTGGATGTTGATACCTTTTTGAACGGCATTTTGGACAGTGTTATTGGATGTTGATTCATTAATTTTCTTGGTCAACTGACGATATTTTAGACGATTTCCATCCAACCAAGTGGATCTCAAGTACATATTTATTAAAGTTTAGGAACCTCCCTTGGCACAAAATGAAGGTTAGGGTAAAGTCTGAAAAAAAAAGGAAAAGATTAGGAATTGCTACTACAATTTTCCCTTAAAAAAAATTAATATATTATATGATTTCTATAAAATATGTGATAAAAAATGAGTTTGATGAAGAAACCAAACAGTGACTTAATTTTATATCGTTCAAGTTCACATTCATCCTCTTTGGTAAGTATATATATATATATATATATATATATATATATAACTCATATCACTTATTAAATTTTTAAGGGAAAATTGCAGCAGCGGTCTCTAACCTTTTTATTTTTTGTAAACTTTGCCCTAACTATCATTTTGTGCCAGTAGAGATTCATAATCTTTCATAAATATGCACTTGAGGTTCATTTGCAGGGAAACCGTTCAAAACATCGTCAATTGACCGGGAAATTCATATCGTTCTATAATTTTTAATCAAAAACTAATAAAATTTTGATTTTTAACACCACCAAGCAGGGGCCCATAAATTAATTGCATGTTTGGCCAAACGTGAAAAAAGTACATATTACTTTTATTTTCTTTACTGTACATATTTAGAAATTAGAAAGGAACCCCTACTCTACGTCTAAAAATGTAATTTGACTTTGATTAACGAAAATTAATTTATGTCCTGAACTTGCTTATTTATTAATCGTAGACTTTTTAAGCTTAGTAGCAACACTGAAATTGCAAGAATAGTTAAATGTTGTGACATTGTGATGATAATTTTTCTAGATGATAAGATTTTTTGTTCGCAATAATTGTCCTTTTTAATTGTGTAATTTATACAAAATGTTATATTATTTGTCAATTTTTAATTTCATTGTGACCGGCCAATTATGCATTATATTAATAACAAATCATTATTCAGTGAAGTTTAATTTCAAATGCTAACCTTTTAATCGTGGAGTAGAATAAGTTTGTGACGGCATTTTATCCCATTATATTAATATTATGAATAATGCTATCTTCAACCTACGAATTTAAGGGGAAAAAATAATGATGATAGTTGAGTACTATCAGTACGTCACGAATTTTGCGTACAAGGAGGGATTTCACAAAGAAAAAATTCAAAAAGATCCCCCTCCCCTTCCCCCTCTTGTGTGTGTTCTGAAGAGATTACATGAAACCCCTCCCATGTACACACAACAAAATCCGTCACAGAAAGGATGTGGTGCCTATGAAATCACCCTTCTGTCCTTCGGATTGGAAGTTATTTTCTTGGTTAGCTTGATGGTGACTCATATAGTCATGCTTCCTTGCCTTTATAACACGCAAAAAAACACGTATTGGGCATAGTTAAGATGCGTGCGACCTCAGTGATCTTAATATGATCTTCCTTATTAGATGTTGACACTGACTAAATGTTGGGCAGGCATCTTATCTGAAGATGTATATTGATAAAAGTTAGGTTCATTTTTCATCAAGGGGCGGATTATAGGGATGGACACGATTTCATTTGGTTCTTATTTTAAGATAACTGAACCGAACAATAAACCAATGGTCTTCTTGATAGTAGAACCAAATGATTTTTTTAAAGGTATGAAACTGATCACGTTCAAAGTATAACGCGGTAGTTGTAGTACAGCTTTAGGATTGGAATCTACAAGGAGATAAGAAAATTACTCAAAAGATTAAAAGTTCGGGTTTTCGTTGTGATTTGTGTAAAACTAATTTATCAATTTAAATGAATTATAAATATCAATGTGTGAAATAATGAAGCGCCGAAATTTTCTCGATTGGTTCGGATCGATCAACGTCAATTACGCAATCATGTACTCAATTAAAGATATTTGTCATAATACTTTAACTGGAAAATATATTATTAAAGCCCATTTTAATTCTATGGTAATTCTAAAATCCAGATTTCCTACAACACATTCCCACTCTAATCTATTGAAATCAGATCCAAAAGTAATTATATATATAGGGCATATATTGGTAAAGAATCACACCAATGAGATTGCATGAAATTTAAATTGAACGAATAATTTAATTCCACAATAGACAAAACATGATTGAATATACGAGAAACCTAATAAACGTTAAACCAATCACATAATAATATTTGGAATTGAAATTCAATAATTATTTTGACTAATCAATAGAAAAAACTTGACTGAATCCATAACAAATCTAATAAAAATTGAATTAATCTCAAAACAATCTCATGAAAATAAGAAATCTAGACCTTAAAATCATTTAACAATAAAAACTGGAATTACATGCATAAAATGACGTTAAAATCACCGATACCAATCGAATTCCTTCGTGGCTTCACCAAATCCCTTAGTTCCTCTTAGTGTTTTTGAGTCAAAAACCAAAGAAAATTATGCTTAGAGGAGAATAATGGTGTTCTCCCTCGAATTAGGGTTTAAAATCGTGTGAAAATCGCGTTTCCATAAGTGGTTGTATCAAATTAGGAAACTGAAGATTCGGGTACCAGAATGAACCATGCGTATGCATGGTTCTAATGGTGCATACACACAGTAGATTTGTTTAGGCATCACTGGTGGATTTTTGGAAATCTCACGTATGTATAGTATAAATTCTTATCCGACAGATAGCTTTCAGTATTTTGAACATATCTTCCTCTCCCGATATCCGATTGAGGTGATTCAAGTAGCGTTGGAAAGCTAACTCAAAGAGCTACAATTTTTATTCAGAGTCATATTCCAATTTGATCTTATGACGTGTCAAAAAGGGTCCCAATATGAGGCTAAAAATCGATGCGTGGCTTATTAGACTGGGAATTAATGTGCGATCAACGATATTTCATCCCTTTGACCTCTTTCCTCATGCACTTGACCTCTAACACTTTTGAATCTTCATCACAAGGTTAGACACAAGTTTGGAGTATTTACACTTGAGTCCCCGAACTTACATTTTCTTCCACTTTGGTCCTTTTCCGCTCTTTTCTTCTTTCTGTTCTACTAAAATACAACTTGAATCAAAACATAAGTATAATTAGTGCATTTTGATATCAAATAATCACATGAATGCAATAATTAAGAGGGAGAAATATTATATTTTACACTCTTATCACACTCTCAACTTGCTTATTGCTAGTCCCCAGCAATTTACTGCAGAACAAAACAAATGAGTGATTGATCCATAATATAAGTGAAATTATTAAGTTCCAATTTAACCACATGTCATGTCACTTTCAAACTCAAAACCACAAGAAACTAATAATATTATATTCATCGGAATATCAAAACACATGCTAAATATGTGAGCGCGTGTGTGTGTCAAGCCTAGCCATTTTGCCGCCAACCCTAATGTAACGCCCCAAAATTTTATCGACTTAAAATTTGAGGTGTTACCGATATCATTTCGTAACGCATACATAAAGCGAAAATATTTAATTCGAAGTTTAAAACTCTTGATTTATTTAATACTCAAATACCAAATTGAATAAACAAAATGTCGCGTAAACATAGAACTTTAAACAGAATTAAATTGAAGCACATAATTCTAACAGAATTATTTTAAAACGTTTTCTTGCGAAGTTTTTCTTTACTTGGCAACCCGCGCACCGCTCAGCCACCATCTACGTTAACCGTACTGATCTGAAATATTGAAATTAAAGGAGTGAGTAATTACACTCAGTAGGATACGTGCGTCCAAACAATATAATAATTTAAAACGTAAACTCATAACATTTAATACCAACATTTCGTCAAGAGCAATTAGTGATCAGTCGAAAGCTCTAATACATTTTGAGAAGACCCGAAGGCGATCTCACATTTCATTTCATTTCGTAGGGATCCGCAGGTCGAACATTTCATTTCCTTTCATAGAAACCCGCAGGTCGAACATTTCATTTCATTTCATTGGACCCGCAAGTCGATTAGCATTTCATGAAATAAATCACGTCAAAAACCATAATATTGAAAGGACGGAACAACTTGCACATAAAGTATCCTACCTCGATTAATAATAGAAAAGTAAGGAATTCACGTTCCCAAAACCTTTTTGCTGTTGTCGTGTCTTGTGGATTTAAGGTCGATCCAGTGGCAATTCCACGTGCCAAAATCCTTTCTAAGAGTATTAAAACCAGTTTTCCACAATACAAAGAGAACACTTCTGGAATGGAGACTTGGACAGGCAGTGGAGAGTTAAGTGGAGATGGAAGAGAATGGTTTTTATCTCATCAATTTTCGAGGATTTGGAATGAATTTATAGTGTAAGGGAGGTGTAAAATTAAGAAGGGTTTTGACTGCCAAATTTGTTAAAAATATATAAAGGATAATTATGCAATCTAACCAACAGAAATCTCGTCAATTAGCTCATTAATCTGTCCAATTACAAAAACTCTTTGTTTGGATATCAATCAAACTAAATTAATTAGGATCTATTTAAAATAAGAATGGCCAAGTTAGTGTCAATTTACATAAGATGACAGGTTATCATATCATCATATAAAATGAAATAAATAATTAAATAGTATATTATAAGATTAATTGGACTATATGCCCAAAATAACTAAATTTGTTAGAGGCCCTAAATCGTGTCTTACCATTATTCAAATTCAATTAGCAATTAAAATTAGCCTTTATCCTAATTGAGAGTTGGAAATGTGCGTGCACGTGTGGCTACCCATACTCTTATCATAAGAAAATTTACCAATTCTAATTTAAAGGCAATTGACACAATTGAGAGTACAAGGTATGATTGCCATGCATCATGCCTAGAGGCTAGAGATTGTCCAAAAATATTATTATATAATAACCAAGTCATTCAAATCTAGGCCTAAAAACGTGTGTCATCTTAGAATGGTCAAAAAGTCATAAATGTTAAATCAATATTCTAAGTAGGATTCCAAAATCAAAGCAAATGAATTTTTAATCTAAGAGAAAATTATTTTATCCAAACATCAATCAATCATAGTTAACTAAAAATATCTCTCCCTACATATTACTTTGCAAACTACTTAAATCACGAGTACCAGAAAATCAGAAATATTGGCAGATAAATGTAAACAAGGATTAAAAATAATTAAATCTCTTTCTCTAATAGAAAAGATAAACATTGATTATTATGATAAAATACTAACTTCTTTTCCTAATTATATTAAAAGAAATATTGTTAAATAATAAAAACGATGCTTATTATCTATGTTTCTTTGAATTGAAATAACTTAGTTTTAACTTAAAAGAACTCATATTTTCTTAAGCTGAAAATACGTTATTAAATGTGAGCTACAAAATGAGCCCAATATTGATATACTTATACTCATTCTATCAAAATGTAATTATTGGTGCCAAATAAAATATGACTTTAAACGCTATTTCATTTCAATCCTTAAATTTTAAAACTATAACATATAAGACAAATATATTTTTATTCGAAAATTTTCGGGGCGTTACACCTAACACATGTAACGTCAAGTATGTCTTAAGCTAAAGGTTTAGCCTCCTAATTCACGGGTATCAAAGTGTTTATACAGTGTTTCTCTTTATGGAGCTGAGAAATGGCATACTCTCATAACTTAGATGCTTAAATATTTATGAATAAGCAACAAACATTGATCTTGTGATAGACACACTTCCAAATGAGAATTCATCCACTTCTTACCGCAACCATACTTGGGATCAAAGCAGTTAATGTAATGGATTGTAATGCAATTTGAGTTAATCTATATAACAGAAGGGATATAATGATTCAAAAACTTCCAAGCACATAGCCAAGTGTCGCATTAAGTCTTTTAATGGATCACATCAACACATTCTTCATTACTTTCAACCCCCAAAATCAATCAAAAAATTTCTTTTTTTTCCCTTCTCTCTATTTTTTTTTTTGTTAATTTTTTTATTAACATTTCCTTCTTCTTATTTTAACTTTTGTCACTTTACTTCAGCACTTATCAACTCTTGTCATCTCTTTGCTTCTTTCTTCATAATTAAACCTCCAATACATACTACACACTTGGAAGTGAAAACGTGAGAAAATACATGTATATGTCTCTCTCCAACGTGGAGAGATAGAGATAGTATGGGTGCATGGAGAAAAATATTAAACATGTATGTGTATTGGCTTAAAGTGGCTACTAGGAGTTATAATCATGAAGAAAAATTGGCTTGAAAGGTCAAAATTCAATCCTAAATTGACTGTCATCATTTCCCAAGTAATCAATCATTATACCACAAATCATGTAACGTTATTCTCAAAAGAGTTTCCAATTCACAAAACCAATGAACGCCTATTGCCCTTTTAATGTATTGTAGCTCTTAATTCTTATCAACTCTCACACGAAAACTTCAGCAAGGACTCCTCTAACTATATGTGTCAAACTACCATCTTATTATAAGGCTTGTTTGCACAAAAGAAATTCAGCAAATGTCTAAACATATAAACTCACATAAACAATATTAATTCCTATTAGCATATTTTGTCATTCAAAAATATGAACATGTAGCAAATAGAGACTTAATGAAAAATTTTCGACCAATTCAGCGAAACAAACCAACATTCCATGAAAATCATGCAATTCATTAAAAAAATTTCAAATACACTCTCCCTCAACTAAATATTGTATTATCCTCAATGCAAAAGCATGTCTACTAAAAGAAGGAAAAGATGTCACCTGGATATTTCAGTGAATCAATAAAAGCTAGAATATGGTGGACCTGAAAGTTCTATATGGAAATGGGTGATGCAAGAAATGAAAATAAACTGAAATGCAGTGACTAATGCATGTGATGAAAATAAACCTAAAAAAATGCAAAAATAAGAAAAGAAAGAGAAGGGAACAAACTCTCCTTAGGTTGCTTCCCAAGCAGCGCCTTTGTTTATTGTTGTTGGCTCAACCCAATATTGCTTTTTTTAGACCGCATCTAGCCAGGGCGTTTTAATCTTCCTTGCATTGCACCAAGCTCATTGGAGATAAGTATCGGTGATGCTCCATAATCCTGCAAATCATCAAAAGCAACATAGGTATTAGCATATTCACCGATATCATATCCTATCGGAATTTTAGAATTCGAAAGGAAAGAGTTTAAAGGGCCGGGTTCAGTAATTGCAGGTACTTTCTCCTGAACAAGTACATCGATCATGAATGTTTGATGACACTAGTCATCCTCCTCAGGTTGCTTCATGATGTGAAAGATGTTGATGTCCAGGGTCATGTTCCCAAATGATAGTTTCATTAGACCATTCCTATAATTGATAAGAACATGAGTTGTGACAAGAAAAGGTCTAACAAGAATTATAGGAATTTTGGAGTTAACATTCACATCAACTTTTATGTCCAAAATCAAGAAGTCAACAGGGTAGTAAAATTTGTCAACTTGTACCAACACATCCTCAACTACTCTTCTAGACCTAATAGTGGACCGATCAGCCAATTGTAAATTTACTGATATGACCTTTATCTCTCCTAGTCCTAACGACAAGTAAATATCATACGACATGATATTGACACTAGCCCCTAGATCAAGAAGGGCTTGTGAAATCACATGATTTCCAATGATGCAAGAGACAGTAGGACAACTAGGATCCTTATACTTTGGTGGGATATTTTGCTTAATAATAGCACTCACATGTTCAGTCAAGAAAATAGTTTTTTTGACATGGTGTTTCCTCTTCACAGTGCACAAGTCTTTTAAGACTTTAGCATATGTGGGAACCTGGAAGATCACATGTTAGAGAGGTAAATTGATTTTTACTTGTTTTAGATGCTTTAGGGTTTCACTATGTTGGCCTATAGATTTTGAGGTAGACTTAAGAGCTTGAGGGAAAGGCACTTTAGATGGATTTTTCACTACCTTCTCACTAAGGGTACCCTCTTTTGAATTGCTAGGGTCCTTTTCATCTTCCCTAGGTTTGGGGGTTGGTTCAATAACCTTACCAGACATAGTGGTTATGGCATTAACTTTCTTAAGGTTGTTTTCTCCTGATCCCGAGGTTTGTGCCATATATTGTTCCCTAGGGTTTGGTTGAGCTTGTGCTGAAAATTTTCCCCTCTCCCCTACAGCCAAGGTGCTAGTTATTTTGGACATATGAGTTTTGATTTCCTTATTTTCCTCAACAATCTAGGTAATCATAGTCTCAAACTTCTAATTGGTTTTACTTTGTGCCTATATGAATGTATGTATGATGTTTTCCAAAGAGTTCCTAAAGGATGTGGATTGGTATGGAGGTACAATATGATCTTTATTTGACTGGTTTTCAGGTTTCTAGCTGAAATTGGGATGATTCAGTCACCCCGAATTATAGGTTTCAGAGAAAGAAGCATAGGGCTTTTAGTATGTACCTAAGGCATTGCAGTGTTTTTCATAAAGTCCCACCATATCAGCATAAGTGGCACACTCCTGTGCTAGATGTTTTATTCCACCATATACAAAACAAGGCCCTAAAAACTCGACACGGAAACATATTGTGTGGATTTTGAATCCTTAGCACATAGGGCTTCAAGTTCTCTAGTGAGGGCTTCTACATTTGCTCTAAGATTGTCTTCCTCCCTAAAATGATAAATACCTGTGCTATTCGGGTTTCCAGTGCGTCGTGACCTATTAATACTATCAGAGGCACTAGGTCCAGTCCAGGTATGGGCCTTTTCTGTTAGGTCATCTAAGTATTCAATAGCCTCATCTAGATCTTTTTGTAGGAATTCACCATTACACATCATTTCAACAAATTGACGCTCCCTAGGCGTTAACATCTCTTAGAAATAACTCACCACACGCCAACTCTCATAACCATGGTGGGGACAAAGGGCTTGCAACTCTTTATATCTTTCATATACTTGGTATGAGGTTTTACTATTCTTTTGAGCAAATGAAGAGATTTGCTTTTTAAGGGCAGTGATTTTATGATGGGGATAGTATTTGCCAAAGAAAGCGTGGGTCATTTCAGTACAAGTCCCAATTGAACGTGGTCGCAATGAATACAACCAGCTCTTTGCTCTTTATTTAAGAGAGAATGGGAAAAATTTAAGCCTCACTGCATCCAATGTACCACGTTAATTGTGAAAAGTTGCAACCACATCTTCAAATTCTCTAATATGCACGTATGAGTTTTCACTTTCAAGACCATGAAAATTGGGAAGACATTTGAATCATTCCCAATTTTAGGTCCATACGTGGCATGTTAAGTGAAAACATGATGCATGACGGTGTAGATATGCATATAGGGTGAAGGTAATCATGCAAGGTTCTATAGGGCGCATCGTCGTGCTCACTATCAGACATTGTGTTGTGTAGTGTGATATCCGTACCAACAGATGTAGTATTAAAAAGAGGGTTAGAAAGTAATTCAAAAACTGGCTGAGACCTCGTAATGAATCGTCCTTGCTCGTCTCGATGCCTATTCATACAATACCAAAAAAAAAAAAATGAAATTAGATGAGAAATAACAAAATAACTAAGAAAATAAACTAAACTAACTGAAAAAAATAGAAAAGGAACGAAGTCACTCTTTTGTTCGAGAATCCTTCAATTATTTGTACCGTCTCCTCGACAACGACGTCAAAATCTGATTACGTCCAAAGTATAACGCGGTAGTTATAGTACAGTTTTGGGATGTCGTATCCACAAGGAGATGTGAAAATTACTCAAAAGATCAAAAGCTATGGTTTTCATCGTGATTTGTGTAAATATAATTTATCAATTTGAATGAATTATAAATATCAATGTGTGAAATAATGAAGCGCCGGAATTCTCTCGATTGAATCGGATCAATCAACGTCAATTACGCAATCATGTACTCAATTAAAGATATTTTTCCTAATACTTTAATTAGAAAAGATATCATTGAAGCCCATTTTAATTCTATGGTAATTCTAAAATCCAGATTTCCTACAACACATTCACACTCTAATCTACTGAAATCGGATCCAAAAATAATTATATATATAGGGCATATAATGGTAAAGAATCACACCAATAAGATTGCATGAAATTTAAATTCAACGAATAATTTAATTCCACAATAAACAAAACATAATTGAATCTATGAGAAACCTAATAAACATTAAATCAATCTCACAATAATGTTTGGAATTGAAATTTAATAATAATTTTGATTAATCAATAGAAAAAACTTGATTGAATCCATAACAAATCTAATAAAAATTGAATTAATATCATGAAAACAAGAAATCTGGACCTTAAAATCATTTAACAATGAAAATTAGAATTACATGCGTAAAATGACGTTAAAATCACCGACACCGATCGAGTTCCTTCGTGGCTTCACCAAATCCCTTAGTTCTTCATAGTGTTCTTGAGCCAAAAACCAAATAAAATTATGCTTAGAGGAGAAGAATGTCGTTCTCCCTTGAATTAGGGCTTAAAATTGTGTGAAAATCGTGTTTCCACAAGTGGTTGTATCAAATTAGGAAACTGAATATTCTGGTACCAGAATGAACCATGTGTATGCATGGTTCTAATGGTGCGTACGCACAGTAGACTTGTTTAGGCATCAGTGGTGGATTTTTGGAAATCTCGCGTATGCATAGTATAAATTCTTATCCGACGGATAGCTTTCAGTAATTTGAACATATCTTCCTCTTCCTCTTCCTCTTCCGATGTCCGATTGAGATGATTCAAGTTGTGTTGAAAAACTAACTCAAAGGGCTACAATTTTTTTCAGATGTCATCTTCCAATTCGATCGTATGACATGTCAAAAAGGGTCCCAATATGAGGCTAAAAATCGATGCGTGGCTTCTTCGATTGGGAATTGATGTGCGATCATACTTTGACGATATTTCATCCCTTTGACTTCTTTCCTCATCCGCTTGACCTCTAATACTTTCGAATCTTCATCATAAGGTTAGGCACAAGTTTGAAGTATTTGTACTTTAATCCACGAACTTTCATTTTCTTCCACTTTGGTCCTTTTCCACTCTTTTCTTTTATCCATATTTTCTACCAAAATGCAACCTGAATCAAAACATAAGTATAATGAATACATTTTGGTATCAAATAATCACATGAATACAATAATTAAGAGGGAAAAATATTATATTTTACACTCCTATCAGGAACCAAACCGAACCGATCCATTTGGTTCTGGTTTGGTTTGGTCTGGTTCTAGTTCTATTACTTAAACTTTCAAACTTTCGTCATATCCATAAGTTAGTAATATATACTCAATTAAAAAATATAAGCATTAAACATTTAACAAGCTCAAATTATTAATCATCAAGATTCTAGAAGGTCAAACTAACAAACAAAATATGAACGAATGCTTCTTTGCTAAAAGTTAATAATATCAAGTTTCATCTTCATCCTTCGTCCAACCATTTCCTTTACATGAAGCCACCAAAACGACATGAGAAAAATGAAATATGAAGCTAAAATATAAAATTAAAACTTGAAACTAATATATAGGGATGGTGACAAAGTGACCAACCTAAGAAACTTAGCCCTTACTAGCCAGATAATCACTAACCGTTTAATACTCCATTGCTTGTGCTGTAACTTTAAGGAACTCTACAATCATAGTTCAAAATACACATTTAAAACGAACAAAAATAAATTAAAATCGTTTACAACTAATAAGATGTTACGTGAAAATATCTTTTAAATTTTTTATTACCAAACTCAATTTCTTCATAGAACTCCGTCTCCTCAATGCAAATTTTGTCTTGAGTTACTCTCAAAAGTCTAGATTTTTCTCGTACCAATTTTGGGTACAAATTAAAGCCTCGAATGTTGTAGGAGTTAAAGAACTTAAAACAATCAAGAATGTGTCCTTTAGTACTAAATACTGACTCAGAAGCAACTGTAGATACAGGAATGACAAACACATCTCTTGCAATATTTGACAAAATTTTAAATCTTGGAGTATTTATCTTCCACCAATTCAAAATATCAAAAATTTGCATCAGCTGCGTCTTCATTTGATTCCATCAAATATCTTTGAACCTCATATTTTCTAGACAAACTGCCTTTGTTAGTTTTTAATTTCTTGTACCCAAAATCAAAATTATCAAAGTCATTCCAATAATTATCAGAACCATCCAACAAAGTGACTCCATCACTAGTATCACCACTACCACTACCTTCATCAGTATTGCTTTCCCATCCCTTGTACTGATTGTACAAAGCATAAAATAATTTATCAACTTCATTTTTTTGTGGCTTCAACCATGCCAAAGTTATACATAATACCAATACGTACAACAAACTCCAATTTATATCTTGGATCATGCACAACTGCTATAGTCAGAATCTTGTTCATCCTATCAACATTTCTCAAATACTTGTCAAACTTTCCCTTCATGCCGCTTGCTATATTACCCAGTACACCATCTTATTTTTCACTTATTCTTTTCAATATCTACTCAATTTTACAAACTTCATTGAAGTAAATATTGGAGGTAACATTCAATGAAGCACTAAATTTCGAAGTAACTTCAGAAACTATTCTTAAAAATTTAGCAAATTTTCTTGCTATATCCCAATCATAAGTTGTTGGTGGCCCTTCTCTTTCTTTTCCACCTTCACACTCATCAAAATATTTGTAATAAAGTCCGTCATCTTCCTCCATTCGATCAAATGCTTTCTCAAATTTCAATGCACTATCCAACATTAAGAATGTTGAATTCCATCGAGTAGGCACATCCAAAATAGGAAGTTGTTTGCATTCTATCTTCTCCTTCTCAATACAACATTTAAATTTCATCAATTGGGATGGAGGTAATCGAAAATACTTAATCACATTGCGAATGCTTGCTATTGATGCATTGAAATCTTTTAAACCACTCATTAACAATTAAATTGACTATGTGCGGAACGACGAACATGCAAATAAGAACCACCTAAAATCGTACCACTAAGTTTCCAATTCTTCAATTTGTTTTTCACATAAATGATTGCAGCATCATTTGTGTTTGCATTGTCCACTGTAATTCTCAATAAGTTTCCCAATTATCTCTCCTTTATGATTTGGAAAAACGGAAAAGTTCAATATACTCTTATGTAATCTCCAATTTCTATCAATAAAGTGTGCTGTGATTACCAAGTAATTGATATTTTGAATTGAGATCCAACA